CTCTTGGAATGCTCCAGGGCCGTCTTGGAGGCCATCTTGGGCGTCTTAAAAGCCTCCTGGGCCGTCTTGGGGGCGTCTTGGGGCCGTCTTGGGGGCCTCTTGGGCCGTTCTGGGGCCATCTTGGGCGATCTTTGGACGATCTTTGGGGGCTCTTGGGCCGTATCGGGCCTTCGGATGGCCGAAAAGAAGCAAATGTGAACATCCTTCAAAAACCTACGGAAAATATGTGTTTCTGACCTTTTCTGTCTCTCCTGGAGGACCTCTTGGGGGCCTCTTGGGCCGTCTTGGAGGCTTCTAGGGCGAACTCGGACGTATCTGGGACCCCCTTGGGCCGTCTGGGAGGCCGTCTAGGGCCATCTTGGGCGAGCTTGAGGGCCATCTTGGCCGTCTTAGAGGCCATCTTGAGCCGTCTTGGAGATTTTTTTCCGGACGTTGAGGTCGTTTGCGGGCCTGGAGGTCCTTCCCGGCATCCCGACGGGACGGGCCGAAGCCCCCGAGAGAGTTCTTTTGGAAAAGAACCAGAACCAAAACCGAAATCATCTAGCACTCCAGGCACCCCTGCGATAAATCGACAGGGGGCGGCGGATCGAAGACGCCTACGGCGAATCACCGCCGCCCCCTGCCTTTTTGTTGGAAGCGCCTATGTGGCCGAACGTTGAGGCCAGACCTGCCAAGCTATCGGACCATGTGTTCCCCGAATCGGTTTGGAACGCCTTCGGGGAACACGTGGGCATCTTGGAGGGCTCTTGGGCCGTCTTGGAGGCCATCTTGAGCGTCTTGGAGGCCTCTTGGGCCGTCTTGGGGGCCTCTTGGGGCCGTGTCTTGGGCCTCTTGGGCGATCTTTGGGGGCACTTGGGCCGTCTCGGGCCGTCGGAAGGCAGAAAAAAAGCAAATGCTACAATCCTTCAAACACTCTTGGGAAATCAATGATTTTGGCCTTTTCGGGCCTTCCTGGAGGCCCTCTTGGAGGCCTCTTGGGCCGTCTTGGGCCATCTTAGGGCCATGTTCGGCCGCCTTGATGGGCTCCTGGTCCGTCTGATGCCGTCGGAAGCCGTTTGGGGTGACTCTATGGGCCGACTTGGGGCCCTCTGGGAATGATCCAGGACCGTCTTGGAGGCCATCTTGGGCGTCTTAAAGGCCTCCTGGGCCGTCTTGGGGGCCGTCTTGGGGCCCTCGTGGGCCGTTCTGGATCCATTTTGGAGGCCTCTTGGGCGATCTTTGGACGATCGTTGGGGGCTCTTGGGCCGTATCGGGCCTTCGGATGGCCGAAAAGAAGCAAATGTCAACAGTTGTCAAAAACCATAGGCATATCAATATTTTTGGTCTCTTCAGGCCTTCCTGGAGGCCCTCTTGGAGGCATCTTGGGCCGTCTTGGGCCAGTTTCGAGCCAACTTCGGCCATCTTGGTGGGCTCCTGGCCCGTCTGACGCCGTCGGAAGCCGTTGGGGGGCCTCTCTGGGCCGACTTGGGGCCCTCTTGGGGTGCTCCAGGGCCGTCTTAGAGGCCATGTTGAGTGTCATGGAGGCCATCTTGGAGGTGTTGGAGGCCTCTTGGGCCGTCTTGGGGTCCTCTTGGGGCCGTCTTGGAGGCCACTTGGGCCGTCATGGGGCCCTCTTGGGGGCCTCTTGGGCGATCTTGGAGGCCTCTTGAGCCGTCTTGAGCCGTCGGAATGCCGAGAAGAAGCACATGCCACAATCCTTCAAAAACCTAAGGACAGTCAATGATTTTGGCTTCTTCGGGTCCTCCTGGAGGACCTCTTGGAGGCCTCTTGGGCCGTCTCGGAGGCCTCTGGGAGGCCTCTTGGGCCGTTTTGGGCCGTCTTGGACTCCTTTGGGCCGTCTTGGAGGCCGTCTTGGACCATCTTGGGCCGTCATCTTGAACCATCTTGGAGGCCATCTTGGGCCAACGTGGCCATCTTGGAGGCCATCTTGAGCCGTCTTGGAGGATTTTGTGGGGAGCTGAGGTGGTTTACGCGGCCTTCCAGGACCCCGGCGGAACGGGCCGAAGCCCGCGAGAGAGTTCTCTTGGAAAAAGAACCTAACTATAGGGTCTAGCACACCTGTGATGAATCAACAGGGGGCGGCGGATCGAAGACGCCTGAGGCGAATCACCGCCGCCCCCTGCCTTTGTGGAAGCGCCTATGTGGCCGAACGTTGAGGCCAGACCTGCCAAGCTATCGGACCATGTGTTCCCCCAATAGGTTTGGAAAGCCTTCGGAGAACACGTGGGCATCTTGAAAGTCATCTTGGCCGTCTGGAGGCCATTTTGACCCTTTTGGGCATTCTTGGAGGACGTCTTGGAGGGCCCTTGGGCCGTCTTGGAGGCCATCTTGAGCGTCTTGGAGGCCTCTTGGGCCGTCTTGGGGGCCTCTGGGGGCCGTCTTGGGCCTCTTGGGCGATCTTTGGGGGCACTTGGGCAGTCTCGGGCCGTCGGAAGGCCGAAAAAAAGCAGATGCCACAATCCTTCAAAAACTCATAGGAAATTAATGATTTTGGCCTTTCCGGGCCTTCCTGGAGGGCCTCTTGGAGGCCTCTTGGGCCGTCTTGGGCCATCTTAGGGCCATGTTCGGCCGTCCGACGCCGTCGGAAGCCGTTTGGGGGGACTCTATGGGCCGACTTGGGGCCCTCTTGGAATGCTCCAGGGCCGTCTTGGAGGCCATCTTGGGCGTCTTAAATGCTTCCTGGGCCGTCTTGGGGGCGTCTTGGGGCCGTCTTGGGGGCCTCTTGGGCCGTTCTGGGGCCATCTTGGAGGCCTCTTGGGCGATCTTTGGACGATCTTTGGGGGCTCTTGGGCCGTATCGGGCCTTCGGATGGCCGAAAAGAAGCACATGTCAGAATCCTCCAACAAAAACCTCAGGACAGCCAATGTTTTTGGCCTTTCCGGGCCTTCCTGGAGGCCCTCTTGGAAGCCTCTTGGGCCGTCTTGGGCCAGTTTCGAGCCAACTTCGGCCATCTTGGTGGGCTCCTGGCCCGTCTGACGCCGTTGGAAGCCGTTTGGGGGGCCTCTCTGGGCCGACTTGGGGCCCTCTTGGGGTGCTCCAGGGCAGTCTTAGAGGCCATGTTGGGTGTCATGGAGGCGTCTTGGGTCGTCTCTGTGTCCTCTTGGGGCCTTCTTGGGGGCCTTTTGGGCAGTCCTGAGGCCATCTTGGAGGCCACTTGGGCGCTGTGGGGGCGATCTTGGGGGCCTCTTGGGCCGTCCTGGGTCATCGGAAAGCCGAAAAGGAGCAAATACGGAAAACCTTGAAAAACCTCAGGAGAATCAATGATTTTGGCATCTTCGGGCCCTCCTGGGGGACTCTTGGGCCGTCTTGGAGGCCTCTTGGGCCGTCTTGGAGGTGTCTTGGGCGGACTTGGAGGCATCTCCTCCTCTCTTGGGCGGAATTGGAGGCCATCTTGGACCATCTTGGAGGCCATCTTGGGCCAACGTGGCCATCTTGGAGGCCATCTTGAGCTGTCTTGGAGGAACATTTCGGAATTGGGCGATGGCTTGGGCGTTTTATGGGTCTTGCGGGGGCCCTGGCAGGACGAGAGGACGCGCTCCAGACCACTCACGCTTACAGGTCTGCTGGGATTCAGGTCGGCCAGCTTTGCCGAGCTCAGCCTCCCCCTCCCCCCCCGAGTCCCAGGCCCGCCTCGGGAGCCCGGTCAGGAACGTTTGTTCAGCTTGTCGCGCCGCTGGTTCTGGCCCGCCACTTCTCGGCGCGACACGCTGACTTCTTCCAGGCCCCCACGTGTCAACAGCCCGAGCTCTTCCCAGCCTCCCGCCCCGCGGGGCGGAGCGACAGGCTATCCGCTCGCAGGACAAGCATGTTGGACGGGGTGCCGCCGCGACACGCTGAGGATGAATTCCTGGCAGTGCACATGACGTGGCCAGCCTGGGCGATAGCTGGATGCAAACATGTTCGGCGCTGCAGGGAGGACCTCGCCTTCGAGTGGCCGCTGGGGATGGCCACCACTTCCTCGGCGGAAGGCGGCGGACGTAGAACGGGAGCGGCTCCGCTGGATGAGGGCCCGCGGAAGTCCCGGCGGAAGGAACATATGTGGTTCCAAGAGATGTCCTCATTTTGGGTGCAGGGTCTCAAGGGCCCGTCATGTGCAGGTGCGCTTGCCACCCGCATGCGTATGTAACGCGTGCGGATCCAGCCGCATATGTTCCCAGCTTCTTTCAGTATCAGTGGCAGCGCGAATTCTTTCACCGTGCCGGCTGATGCGTGATTACACATGAACAGGCTGTGTTCCATGGAAAGATGTTTCCAGCTTCTTGGTGGGAATGTTCGGGTCGAGGGTTTGGGTGCTCTGTGCGTGGGTGGTCTGGGTCCAACTCCTCCTGCCCCGCTCGCTCCCGATCCTTGTCGTTATCCTGATCGTCCTCCCGCCTTCCTTCTGCTTCCTACCGCCGTTTCGCTGTCTCTGTCTCTCTCTCTCTCACACTATATGTTGTTTGTTTTGGCTGTTCTCTCTCTCTCTCTCTCTTTCCCCTCTCTACCTTCATTCTACCTCCCTCCCTCACTCCCTTTCCCTCTTTCTCCTTCACTCCCTCTCGCTGACGTCCGCCTCCCCTCGTCCGTCCTGCTGCTGTTCCTTCTCCGCCCTCTCGAGGGACACTTGCCGAACCGAAGAAAAATATGAGTGACGCGCACTCGCCCTCATGATTCCATTGAGTTGCCCCTGTTGCAGCTGCTGTTTCCAGGGCCTGGGTCCAAGTAGCAGCGCCCAGCAGCAGCAAGCAACAGCAAGGCGGAGGAGGATAAGCACGAGGTGGGCGTCATGTCCTCAGGAGCGCGCAGCTGCTGGCGCAGTTTTCGGTATCCCCGCAGAAGCTCATGATTTGCTGTGCCTGGTCGGTTCGCTTTTTCGTCCGCCGCCATTTGCCAGTCGATCCCCAGGTCGTCATTTGCCACTTCCCCCTCTCGTGGCAACAGCTAACAACATGTTCCGTGTCCTCGTCCTCGCAGCTGTGTGACAATGCACTAGCAGACACGCGTCAATACGTCAGTCCACCATGAATGCAAACCTGCAGCGTCCCGCGTCGTCAGGCGTGTGTTCCCCCACAGCGACCATCGACTACTGCCTGAACTCGAATCTGTGGAATGTTGCCCTGGAAGTGATCCGAGGTGCGTCGGAGATGCGCGTGCGCGTCGGCATGAGACGTTATATGTCTGCCATCAGCGCATTCGGCAAGGGTAAGCAGTGGCAGCTGGTATTGACGTTACTGGGCGACGTGATGGAAGCAGAGGAACCGCCAGATGTCGTATGCTACAGTGCTGGAATCAGCGCTTGCGGGAGAAGCAGCCAGTGGCAGGCCGCCGTATCATTACTCAGATATGTGCGGGAGGCAACGCTGGAGCCAAATGTAATGCATTGCGCTCGGCAACCTGCGCCAGCCCCACAAAGGTGGGCAAACACCGCCGGGCTGCCGGGTCGCCATACCTCATCTCTGTGGGGTGGCGGAACCCCGGGACCTCTTCTGGGTTGCGTTCGGATCAGGATCTCGAGGTGAATGAAGCAGTGGCCTCGATGAAACAGTAGCGGTGCCCTTCCTCGTCTGGATCTCTCCTTGAATTGCCAGGCGCAGTCTGTGCCAGAAGGGCGCCAGACCTTTGCAGCCAAATACTGGTTCGGCGGCGCCTCTGGCGCGCCCTGGCCCATATCTGGCGGCCTGTGATGGCCTTTGGCTAAACACAGTATCCGCGGCCTCGCAGGCTGGGCCGCGACCCCGCGGATACGGAGCGTTTTTTCGCGAATGCCTCTCGCGGAACGTCTCCGTGCGACCGCGTATCCGCGAGATCGCGCCCCCCGAATGCAGACCGCGAGGGCGCGGATATAGGTGTGGTCGCCTCTCTTGAGATGGGCCCCGGGCGGCCCAGGGGAATCTCCAGCGGGCGCCCCTGACCGCAAAGCAGGCCCCCAAGATTGCCCAAGACGCCCCAGGAAGGCCCCAGGATGGCTCCGCGCATGGGCCCCCGAGCGGTGAAAATCGTTCGGCCTCAAATAGCCTCAAGAAGGGCCTCCGAAGCTTCCCAGGGGCCCAAGAGGCCCACCAAACCTGGCAAGAGGGCCCACACACGCCCCAGGATAGCCCAAGATGGTCCATGCTGGCTTCTAAGATGGCCAAGACTGCTCCACGGACCCCGGACCCCAGACCTCCTAGAGGGCCCTCGCGAGGCCCACGGAACCCCAAGACGGCGGCTTGGAGCGGCCCCGCGAGAGCCCAAGAGGGACCCATCATCGCCCCATGATGCTTCAAGAGAGCTCCAGCATGGCCCTCATTTGGCCCGAGGGTGCCCTCCGCACGTCTGGAGGCCTCTTGAGGGCAGCCTGTGGATCTGCCGGGAGCTCCCTGGAGGCCTTGGGGGCGTCTCGGTGGACTGGCACGGCGGTCTCGTGGGACATCCTGGGGCGGCTTCCAGAGGTCCTTTTGGCGAAATCCCCCTTGTGAGCGCCTCGAGGAGGCGCTTTTGGTGGCCTCTTAGGCCCCTCTGGGGTGCCTCGGGCGCCCTACAGTGAGCGGCTTGAACAAGGAACTAGGGGCTCGGTCGTTCCTTAGGTTTGCATGCGTTGTTTATGCGTATGTACTATGTATCGGTCCTTCTGCGTTATTCCTTGGAAAGAACGGGCTTCGTTCCTTATTTATCAATCCTTAGTTCAGGCCGATGAGTGTATTCAGCCTCGCTGTGGGGGGGGCCCTTGTGCCATTCTGGACGCGCCCACGACCGAAATGGGGAGGGTGCGCGCGCATGCTAAACATGTGCAATGTTTGTCTCAGATTTGTGCGGCTTGGGCCTGCCCCCTGAGTCTCCAAGATGGCCCAAGGGGCCCCCAAGAAGCCTTCTGGGTGCCCCCCTGGGGCGATCCTAGGACATGTTGAAGGTATGGGCTACGAGGCCTCGGAAAGAACCACGCCACGCAGACTTCCCTCTCTTGGGGCCCTCTAGGGATCTCTTGGGTCCCTCTCGGAGGCGGGTTCTCTGTGTCGTCTCCAATTTTCGCTGGAAGCCGAAAGTGCGAGCATGCGACAAATGCTCAATAATCTTGGCTCTGTGCCGCGCGCCAGGACATCCAAGACGCCTAAGAGAGCCCCAGCATTGCCCCAGCATTGCCCCGTGGGACCATCGTTGGGCACGGTGGAAGTGCGGGTTCCGAACGACGCCCCCGCAGCCTGTAAACAGATCTCGCGACAAGCCCCCAGGGCGCCCTTTGGTGCCAAGAAGTGACAGCGACTTCCGGGAACCTGGGGTCCCGCATGATCTTCCAGGAAAACATTGAGTAAACGGTCGTCCACGGGCCCTCCCTTGTCAGCTACAACGCTGGGATGAGCGCGTGCGAGGCAGGCGGACAGTGGCAGTGGTCTCTGGCCTTGCTCAGCGAGATGCGGGAGGCGCATCTAGAGCCAGATGTCATCAGTCGCAGTGCAGGGGCCAGCGCGTGCGTGAAAGGGGGGCAGTGGCAGCGGGCGTTGTCATTGCTCTTCGGGATGCAGGAAGCGAAATTTGAGCAAAACGTGATCAGCTACAGCGTTGGGATCAGTGCGTGCGAGGAAGGCGGACAATGGCAGCGAGCATTGTCACTTCTCGGCGATATGCGGGGGGCGACGCTGGAGCCCAACGTCATCTGTAGTGTAATGCCTGTCATTCTGCGTGCCAGAGGGGCGGAGTGTTTGCCTCGGCCCGGAGTGCCCCGGCGCGACCCCCAGATCCAGGAGCAGCAAAGCCAGCAGCGGCAGCCATGAGCAGCTAGCACAGCGACCAGCCAGCAAGGAGGCAAGCTGTCAAATCCGATTGCTTTCATCCACGCAAACAGGCCAGCACGCAGGCCTGCAAGAGCCTGCAAGTAGGCATACACAATTAGCAAGCAGCAGCAGCAGCAGCAGCAGCAGCAGCGTACAGCATCGGAAAGCAGCAGCGGCCAACAGCAACAAAATGCGACAGCACGCATTCACAGGACCAGCACCGAACGGTAGACACCAGTGGTAACAGGCCACGGCAAGCAGTGGCACGAAGCAGGAAGTTGGCAGCAGCAGCAGCAGCATCATAATGGCACCTAGCGGCAAATTGCAGCGGCAACGAGCGGACGAAGCAGCGAGGAAGCAAACAGGCAGACAACCAAGATGGCAGGCAAGTTGGCCAGCAGGCAGACAGCAGAGGAGAACGTTGCCTTGCCAGCAAGCTAGCAGCTTTGCGAGCTGGGCAGCACGCAGGCAAGCGAGCAGTCAGTCGATTACCACCTTTACATTCGAGGCCCGGCCGGGCCCCGACCTAGTCCAAAAGCTCCCATAGTCCCCAGGAGCTCATGCTTTCGGTCTCAGGAGGCCCCTGGAAGCCTCCGACACGACCGACATAGTTCCCACGACGACCCAAGTCGCCGCCACGAGGCCCTAGCATGCGCCCGTGGTTCCCCGCAAGAGGCTCCAGAACTGGCCAATCGACAGGAGGAACCCTCCACACCGACGTAGCGCTCGGTGATGCCACTTCTTCTGGATTTCCTGCCCCAAATCCCGAGAAGGCCCCCTTGAGGCCCTTGAGGCCCCCGCTGGGCAACCTCGCCAAAAAGGCCGAAGAGGGCCCCTCGCCAAGGAGGCCTGAGAGGGCCCCGCTGGCCCCTCCCAAGCGCTCGGGACGGCCCTGGAGGGTCCGATCGACACAAGACGGCCCACGAGGGCCCAACAGGCGCCCAAGCAGCCAATTAGGGCATCCAACGATGTCCGATCCAGCAGAACAGCCCCCCAGAATGACCAAGACAGCCCAAGAGGCCCCTAGAGATTCTAATAGAGTCTCCGGACCTCCAGCAGCAGCGGTAGCAGCAGTAGCGGAGCCGACAGCAGAGGCGCAGCTAGTAGCAGCAAGTAGCAGTAGCAACGCAGCAATTGGTATCAAGCAACAAGAGCTATCAGCAACAGTAGGCCAAATCCTCAAGTGGCACCAGCAAGCAGCAGGACCAGCGGCAACAAGCCGTTCACCTCCAAAAGAAGCAAGTTTCAGCAAACAGCGGCAAGCGGCAGTCATCAGCAGCAGCGGCTCACATCGAGGATTAGCTAGATTCAGCAATCCCCTGCGAACGGAAACATACAGCAGGAAGCGACAGTGAGGGGAATGTCGCCTCCCCGTTTCTGGAACTAGGTATTTCCGCTCGGGCGTGATTGCCTCCGTGCCGTGCCATGACGTGCTGCGCGTCCACGTGCTGTGCTGCGTCCGCGCGTCATGTCTCTAACATGCTTGTGCCATCCGAGTTCACCGTCCCGTGTCGCCTCTAAGTTGCCTCTCTCATGTTTTTGTTACGCCGTGCTGCTTTGTGCCCGCCATGACGTGTCGTAACCAAGCTTGCACTTCCTGGTAGTTCTTTCTAGAAATGGGGCCTCGCTTTGGGCTTACCTCGCCTTTGGTGGAAGCTGACAGAGGGCCCGCGGAATGCGACGGGAGTAGAACGGCGGCGGGTCCGCCTGCGGAAGCAGGCGGACGTAAGAGCGAGACGTCAGCATTCCCCTAGGAGCGTTTGCACGCAAGGGGCTCCCTTGTCTGATTTGGACAGGTCTGCCGAGGCTTCGCCTGGTGACCTCGGTCGGTGGCCGCCCGTGGGTCGTGGGCGCCCCGCGGGTGCCCTGTGCGCTGGGTGCGTCCGCCGGAGATTCGCCCAATGCGGGCTGGATTTTCCGCCGGAGTGTCGCCGGGTGCCCGGTTCGTGGCCGGTGGTGGGCGCCTCGCGGGCGCCCTTGTGGGCGCACCGTGCCAAGGGTGGGTACACCACCGGTGCGCCTTGTGGCCGCCTGGAGGCGCCTCGTGTGCGCCCTGGGGGCGGCCGCAGATCTTTCACCTCACATGTTCGCGATGTCGCTTGCAGCACACAGACAGCACCACATGGTTGTTGCCACATCGTTTGCACGACACGGCCTGCACCACATAGATCACACCATCATTCTCACACGACATGCAATGCACCTCATAGCTTACTTCAAATTCCTCACGCCAGATAGCGTACACCACATGGCATGGACCGCATAGCGTACACCACATCGCTCACAGCACACAGCTTACGCCACACCGACTGCACCGCATAACTTGTACTTCACTGTTTTCACCACATGTATTGCTCTACATAACTTGCACCACGCAGCCCACACCAGGCAGCTTCAACATCATGGATTGCACCGCATAGTGTACACTACGTAGCTTACAGTTCACGGTTTACATCACATAACTTGCACCACAAAACTTGCACCACACACACACATGTTCCTCTTCCTATATTTTTGTAAGCCCGGGCGGGGGGGGAAACCCGTCACCCCCACCCCCAAAACCGGACTCCCGGGATCTGGGGTTTTGCCCTCCGGACGGGCCTCGAAGCGGCCCCCAGATCCTCGCAGGGCGTTTTGCCAAGCCTTCCCAGCACACCTAAGGCGATCAGGAGGGTCATCGGAGATGTCCCAGAGACCCCCAAGACAGCACAAGAGCGCTTCAAGAGTGACCGACGTGACCTCAAGATGGCCCAAGAGGCCTCCAGGACGGCCCCAAAGAAGGCTCCAGGAGCATTTCCAAGAAGGCCTCCCGAGGCAAAAATCATTGATTTTCTGTTGGTTGTTGGTGAATTTTGGGGTTATCTTCTTTTCGGTTTCCCGGCGCTCCAAGACGGCGGTCTTCTGGGTGTCCGAAGCCGCCTGGGAGGCTCCAAAATCGCCCCACAACCATCCGAAAGGGCTTCAGGCAGTCCAAGTGAGCCCCAAAACGGCACAACACGGGCCCAATATGGCCCTCAGAGAGCCCATGGCGGCCCAAGATGGCCCAAAGACACCCTCCGAAGCATTCGAAATCGTGACCCAGTCGTTCAGAGAGACCGCGGTTGGAGGCAGGGTGGCCCGAGGAAACCCTCGGATGCCCCCAGAATACGCCCAGCAGGCCTTCAGAAGGCCTTTAGAAAGCCTGAAACAACTCTTGTGAGGCCCCAAAGAGGAGCCCCCGCAAAAAGAGCTGAGGAGCATGGGGAGGATGCGCATGGTATGGCGAACATAAGGAAAATGAAGCATGGAGGAAGGAAAACGAATAACATTACCTATACGACCACCCTTTCGAGTGATAAGGAGGTTCGGGGGGGGAACCAACGTCTCACTCGATCGGTCCCACTATCGATCTCACTTTCGATCTCACCATCGAATTCGTTCGACCGATCTCACTTGATCGATCTCACAATCGATATCACTCGATCTATTTCACTCGACTAATCTCACAATCGATGCGACTATGGATTTCACAATCGATCTCACTATCTATCTCACAATCGATCTCACAAACGATCTCATACTCGGTATCACGATTGGTCTCACTATCGATATCACAATCGATGTCACAATCAAAGTCGTCATCATCATCATAATCAACATAATCGTCATCAACGTCACCAACATTATCATCATCACCACCATCACCGGGACACCATCATCATGATCACCCATCATCATCATCATCACCATCGCCACCATCGGGACACCATCATCGTCACCATCATCAGCATCAACATCATCATCATCATCGGGACACCATCATCATCATCATCAACAGCATCGGAACACCACCACCATCATCATCCTCATTATTATGAGCAGCATCGTCACCATCATCATCGGGGCCCCATCATCATCATCATCATCAACAACATCATCCCTATCAACATCATCACCATCGGGACGACATCATCATCGTCCCCATCATCACCATCGCCGTCATCATCATCGATACATCATCATCATCAATTTTAGCGTCACCATCATCCTCGGGCCACCTTCATCACAATCATCATCACCATCATGACCATCATCCTCATCATTATCATCGGGGCACCATCATCGTCATCATCATCATCAACATCATCATCATCGGGACACCATCATCATCACCATCACCATCAACCGCAACATCATCATCCTCATCTTCATCATCATCGGGACACCATCACCATCATCATCATCTCCATGATCACAGTCCCATCATCACATCATCATCAACATCAGCAGGATCATCAACATCGTCATCGGGAAACCATGGTCATCAGCAGCAACATCATTCACATCAACATCATTATCATCGGGACACCATCATCATCACCTCCATGAGCACCATCATCACCATCATCATCAACAACCTCGTCAACATCATCATCACCATCATTATCATCATCATCGGAAGCCGAAAAGAGGAGAACTCCAAACTTCACCAACAATTAACAGGAAATCGCTGGTTTTTGCTTCGGGGGGCCTTCTTGGGAGTGCTCTTGGAGGCCTCTTTGGGGCCGTCCTGGAGGCCTCTTGGGCCATCTTGAGGTCACGTCGGTCATTCTTGGAGCGCTCTTGTGCTGTCTCGAGGGTCTCTGGGACATCTCCGATGACCCCCCTGATCGCCCTAGGTGTGCTGGGAAGGCTTGGCAAAACGCCCTGCGAGGCCTGGTGGCCGCTTCGAGGCCCGTCCGGAGGGTCCCAAAGCCCCAGATCCCGGGAGTCCGGTTTTGGTGGAGGGCGGTGACGGGTGTTCCCCCCGCCCGGGCTTATGAAAATATAGGAAGAGGCATGCATATGGATGTCTTCACAACTTTAAGCCAAGAAAAGACAGATCTGGCCGCACTCGAACTGTGT